TCTGAGACTGGAATTCTTTAATGGCGTAGAAAGCTTCATCTTTCTCCCAAAAAACAGCTGGTTGTTTTGAACTGCTGACCTTCCAGTTAGTAGTTCAACATGTAACCACTATACTATCAGGACTCCTCTTTAGAACACAGCCTGGTACATATATCTATTGCTCCTTAAAGTTCAATGACAGACTAGTTGAAACAATACCACAGTCTCTGGCTTTATAAAGAAAAGGCTTGCCAAATACTGCTAAGAAAACAGATTCACTGTCAAAAGGTTTTCTTTTGAAATTTAAAAATTCTTTCTACTTCTGCTACATCTTGACTCTTCTTTTGGTTTGGCTGGGACAGTGTCACTTAGCTCTATTTTTAACTTCTCCAATATTACTATATGAAGTTAGCATCATCATTGGAGGAAGACTCAGTAACAACCTGGGATATGATAACCTGGCTGACCAAAAATGTTAGGACTTGAAGTCTTTACTCATGAAGATCAAAGACATGGATTACATTTCAACATAAAGAAAATTTAACATTCCTCAAAACTGGACCAATAAAGATGGCAATAAAGGGAGAAAAAATATTGAAGTTTTCAATGATTTCATCTTACTTGGCTCCACAATCAACACTCATGGAAAAGCGGTCCAAAAAAATCAGAGGACACGTTGCATTGGAAAAATCTGTTGTGAAGCCAACATTTTGAAGAATAAGGTGCACCTGATCCAAGCCAGGGCCTTTTCAACGACCCCATATGCTTGAGAAAGCTGGATAATGAATAAGGAAGATCTGAGCATGGGACCTAAGCCGCAGTAGCTAACAACAACTTGCTACTTCGCTCCAAGCCACCATCTTTTCTTCCTGCCTTTCTGCAAACTGCCTCTTCACTCCCTTTGAGCCCACCGTAGTAGAGCCTCAAACATGGCAGCCAGAATGAACCTCTAACAAAGTTCGAGGTTACATCATGCCTATGTTCTGACTCGTCCAATGACAACCCCAACCCCCATGAGCTGTGAACTTTAATTTCAATCAGGGGAAAACAACAACAACAACAAAAACCTTACATTGGCTTATAATGCCATACACAATTTGGGTCATAGTGTTTGTCATCTTTTATTAATGTCCCATTTCTTCATTCCTGCTCCCAAACGCACTGTCATTAATTCGATGCTGGAGTATAGTGACCAGTTAGAACAGGGTAGAGCTGCTCCTGTGGGTTCTGA